TTTTTAAATTTGAATGGCCGTCTCTAATAAAATGGCCCTTTTGAAGGTGATTGAAAATAGAATGGCCGGCCATTCTATTAGAATAAATACTCATCAGAAATAATTACCTACATACAATTAAACCACAAAAATATCAAAAAAACTTTTTGCTTATAATGACAGTAATCGCATTAATAAAGTTTAATGGTAAGTTTAATGGCACTCAAGCCCGTACATTAACACGACTCCATTATAAGCAAAAAGTTTTTTTGATATTTTTGTAATTTAATTGTATGTAATTATTAGAGTTGGCCGGGATCGGGATCCCGGTCGGGATCGGGCGGGATTATCCCGGGTTTTTCAAATCCCGATCCCGATTTTTCTGATCCCGCTCCCGAAATATATATCCCGATCCCGATCCCGGCCAATCTCAATCCCGAGCCGGGATCCGGGATCGGGATGTGCATCAAATCCCGATGAAAATCCCGACTTTATAAATTGACTAGAAGTCTGTGAAATAAAGAAAACAAAAGCGGGGAGGCATGAAAGTAAGAAAAATTTTCGCCTGCGGCGCGGAAAATGGAAGAAATAATGCATCTTGACATCCAAAATTCTCAAAATTTTCGCCTGCGGCGCCGCAAAAATGAACAAAGCTGTCTTTACAAATTTAACGAAATATTGAGTGATTTGGTGTGATATCGAGGGATCAAGAGGGGTTGAGGGGAGTATCGTTGGATATGGGTATAGAAGGATATCGTGGATTTACTGGGATTAAGTTAGATTTGAAGAGAATCGAGGGCTTAAGAGATATTACTACATGAGTATATCACTTAATCCCTCATTCTTAGTTCTAATCGTCCACATTTGAACGTAACGCACTTAATCGTATAGACTTGAACGTTTAGACTTGAATGCCCTTGGCCTTCCAAAATAAAAAATATTGCCTTCGGCGCTTAAAAGGGAGGAAATCTGGCACCTTGGTGTTACGACCCCGCTTACGCTGACGCCCATACACAACACTTGGCCTTCCAAAATTTTCAAAATTTTTGCCTGCGGCGCTTAAAATGGAAGATGCCCAATCCCATTTATCCCCCCCATACCTTATCCCCTCTTAATCCCCTGAACCGGAAAGTAAATCATGCGTCTATGAGACTTTAACTCAATATTTCAGCACCGCAGTGAAAATTTTAGAATTATATTAAGTCGTTTGTGAAGAAAATAAAAATTTATAAGTTTTTAAAAAATTTTTTTAGTAAATCCCGATCCCGAGTTTTCAATCCCGGTCCCGATTCGGGATCGGGACCGGGATCGGGATCTCCAGTTTACAATTTTTGTATTTCGTACTCGGGTACGAATACAATTACCAATTTCGTCAAGAGCTTCCAAACCAGCGATCAGTCGTAGTTCCGATTTCCAATTTTTGACATTTTCTCTTTCCAATTTCCGAAACTTCCATAAAATCTGTTTCCTGTATTTTTGAAGCATTGTTTCGATTAAAATTTTGCTGGAGAGGATATATGTAGACGATATAGGAGGCTCCAATCGCCCAACTCCAATTATATCCATCTTATCCTCTAATATCCTCAACAAAATTTTTATATACGCGGGCAAAAGTTTTCAGTCGAAACATTGCTTAGAAATTATCGTAAACAGGAAATTTATTTTAAATTTCGGAACTCGGAATTTAAAACGCTGAAAACGGAACGGAATTCCATCCGACCTCCGGTTTGGAAACTCTTGACGAAATTGGTAATTGTATTCGTAACCGAGTACGAAATACAAAAATTGGCAAAACAGGTAGGTACGAAGTTAGAGGACGAAATACTAAGCAATATAGCAATGCGAAATTACCAAACACGTGTTTGCCCTTATTCTAACCTTAATAAATTTAAAATTAAATAAAGGCGTCTGATGGCATTTAATGATTATGAAAGATTCTCTCTCTCTTTAATTAGGAGAGAGAAAAAAAGAATTTTTAAGAAAAATTTTTTAAGAATTTCAATATTGTAAACAAAAATTTTATTAAGCTTAAGAAAACTTTTATAGTTTTCGAGAAAATTCCGGCGCATAGACCCCCAAATAGATTTTACCTCTAGGTTTCTAAAGCGAATATATTCGTAGGCGCTAATTAAAAAATTTTTAACACTTATTCAAACTCAGCACAAAGGATTACTTTCATATAATTAAACCACAAAAATATCAAAAAACACTTTTTGCTTATAATGACAGTAATCGCATTAATAAAGTTTAATGGTAACTATTTCTCGTGGCGGGCACGAGAAATCATTTTCCTTTACTACGGTCGCTGGGTTCCTTGTAACATAATCCTATTCAGTGACCGACTTCCTCCGCGGCATCACCGCCATTGAGAACAAAGGTAAGGAGCCATTGAGACATAGTTAGGCTCCAGTTTCTCGGTCTGGAAATTTAAAAATTAACTTGAGACTAACTATAGTTTTTTTGTAAAGTTATTGATTTTGAAAATATAAATTTTATGTTCTTATTTTTATATTTATTTTTTTGAAACAATAAATATATTAAAGCGGTTGGTCCCATTCCTCAGTGCCTCGGGTATAGTTGATGTTATTAGAAGGGTCGCGCATGTTGCAATTAGGTGTGAACTCCGCAGAGCACTCTTTGGTTTTTTGCTAGGCCAATTTAATTTAGTCAATAAAAATTATCTTTTATGAAATTTTATTTTAAAAATTGATTTAATTAATTTGTAAGTGTAATATAGAGGGTAAAGAGAGAGAGAGAATGAGAGAGAGAATTTTGAGTGTATAGCTTTTCTATAGCTTTTTCGAAACAAGAATAGTCCGAAAATCGAAAAAAATCGAAATAGAAAATATTGAAAATAATAGAAAAAAATAATAAAAAAATATTTAAAAAATTCTTTAATCGGACCCGAAATGCTGTGTGTTTGTGTGCAGTGATTTTGTCATGCTTATAACTGCCGAAAATAAGTAATTTCCTTTTTTGTTTCGGAATTCACGAAATCGGTGTCAACTTTACTCGAAAAATCACGTTTTCGATTTCAGAAATTTCTAGAAAAATTATTTTTTTCTGTCATATTTCTCTAAAATTTATTGCTTATTGTCTTCCAAAATTGTCAAAATTTTCGCCTACGGCGCTGAAAACTCGTACGTATTACCCTATTTTTGTATCATCCTACTTTTAGAAGCAGAAAATCAACATATATGTATCCACAAACAATATAGAACCGAAGATATCAGCATTTGGAACCGAAAACTTATTTTTACATTAAATCGGTATCATAACTTTTTTAATTACCCTTTTATAAAAGAATTCATCCTTTTAAGCGCCCCAAAATTATAAATTAATAAAAAGAATTGCAAAAGAGTCTAGAGCGAAAATTCGAACGATAAAGATCTCTGAAATCGAAATTTCGAAACATCTCTGACAGTGATACAATTTAACAAATCCATTATTAGCTGTATAAAATAAAAGCGCCTGGCTTTGCTTCTCACTTTTTATTTCTCTCTCTACATACATCGTCCTTTTCATTTAAACATAGCTAAAAATTTAAAAGATGAAAAATTTAATTTTAATTTTACTTTCAATTTTTGTCATTAAAGAATTCCAACTTGAATTGACTGATGGAATGTTTACAGGAAATTGTTTGTATTTTTATATTTTGTAAGGATGATTAACCTAGCAGCATTTAAACCGCTTAGGCGGGGATAAACGATCTAAAAAGGAAAAAGAGAAAGCTGTCGAAAATTTCTTGGAATTTTCGTCAAAGGATGAAATTAATTAAATTATTAATTTTTCCGTTCCTATTTTTTATGACATCACTTTTTAGTGATCGTTATCGCCTATTTCGCTCTTTCTCTCCTTTTTCCATAAATGGATAAAATTATCCATTTTATCTTAAATTCCAATCTAAAAATTATTAATAATTTTATCCAACAGGGAAAAAAGGGAGAAAGTGCACTTCCGCCCAACTTGTTAACCGCAAACATATAATTTTTAATGCCTTTTTCAATTGCCCACATTCCATACCACACACATCGTTTATGGCCTATTTAAACCCAATCATTTTCACACTTTTCATGTTCTGACATAATCATTTTTCACAACCACAAATATAATGTTTTTACATACCCATAATGTTTTGACATAATCAGTTTTGACTTAATCATTTCATCACCTTTTCCAATCATACAAATAAAACACACAAATACAATTATAATTTTCTTTAATTAAATAAATATTTTTAAATATTCTTGGATTTTATTCTTTTGGTAATATTCTGTGAATATTCTTTGGGAATATTCAATTGTTCGTCTATCGTCTAAACTTGGCCATCCAGCAAAACCTTTGCCTACTCGCCTAACATCCTCTTTGGTTTGCCACGTCTTAATCTTTGGGATTAAGACGCTCATCGACTTCAACACACTTTCGACTATTGTTTTTAGCGGCGAACGACCTAGTTCCCTCTTGGGAATCCCGACCAAGGTAGTTCCCGTTAAAATTGGTGCCACGACTCGTGACAGCCGTCGACATTCATCAGTCAACGCACAAATACCAATCCGACCTTTGCAGTCGGCACATTTTCGACTAATTGTTCGTCTGCGCCAAAAGGAACAGCCGTCGACAAAGACCCACATTCCCAGCAGAACAAACGACTATTAGTTGAGCAGTACAGCGACCACAAGCCGTCCAACTGTACACCATTAATTTGGCAAACCGCGTCTAACCAACCATCAATGGCACGAATTATACGTCAAGAACTTTATGGAACGACAAGAGCACTCGTCGAGCACCTCAAAATCGCCGAATCTTGCATCGTCCAACTCAAATCAAAACCGTCAATTGAGAAAGAAGATGAACTGGCAGCATCAGTGGAAATGGAACTCGTCCATCTTACAGAACGAACCAACCAACTCAAAACAATCATTAACAAATACAATCAATTTATGGATGGCCTCGACGAACAACAACAGAACGAACATGCAGATTACCTCGCCGATTTCTTAACATACGACAAAAAATCCGACCAGAACTTGGAAAATGCAGAGCAGTGGCCAGTTTCGAAATTGGTCGACAGAGCAAATGAAGTAATCAACCGCATCAAAGCATATAGAGTAATTCGGCAAATGACGACAGAAAGCAATAGCAATAATTCACCAAGAGCGCCTAGTGTACAAGGATCAACATCAGGAAGAATGGTCGACAATCAAACTCCTCTGCGTCAAGAACGACGACAATTCTTTTCAGACGACGAAGAAGAAAATGATTGGAGGAAAAATTGTCGAATGCGTCAACCAAGTGTACCAGAATTTCAAGAACCAAGTTTTGGAATTCAACATGAGACATCACGCCAAAATTACGACTATCAACATACAAACTCATTCCAGCAACCACAATATGGTCTTCCTTTATGGAATGCTTTGAAGGTTGACAGCGTCCGTCTACCAACATTTGGCGGCGACATACGTAATTGGCGTACCTTTTGGGCTGCCTTTGAACATGCCGTCGACAAACAACCATATCCAACATTCCAGAAGCATCTTTTACTTTTGCAATATCTTAAAGAAGGATCAGCAGCAAGAGAAGCGATAAGTGGTTATCCACCGACAGACAACAATTACAACATCGTCAAGGAAATTTTAAAGAAGAAGTATGGTAACGACGACCAACTTAGCAACCAACTTCAGGCACAACTTCTCAAACTTCCGCCCATTAGGAACAACCTTCGCGAACTCACTCAGTTCCAGAAGGACATTGAAAGAATTTGCCTTCAGCTAGAATATTTGGATAACCAATCGCCTATGTTTTTATGCAACATCATCAAGTCCAAACTTCCCCATGGAATTCTTCAGGAACTCATCGCAAAAGAACTTGACTCGCCTAAGTAGTGGACAAACAAAGAATTGCGACGAGCTTTGGAAAACATCGTCAATATTCGGCAAGCAACCGACGAATGTATGAATTCCTTCCATAGTGAGCCATCACGCATAGTACAAGAAGAACCAAGAACAAAACAAATACAAATGCGCCAAGAAGTTCGACAAATACCACGACAAATGGAATACCCCTCTATAGAAGATACGAGGACATTCTCAGTATTTGTCAACACCAACAACCAAGACAATTGTACCACCCTTGAAAAACAACATCGTCAACAATCATGTTCTTTATGCGCCATTTTTGGACACAAACCCAGCCAATGCCCCACATATTCAACACCTCAACAACGCAAGATTCGTCTAGTGGAACAGGGTAGATGTCTGAAATGCTTGCAGCAAAATCACACGTCAAAGCAATGTCAACGTGCATTTGAGTGCCGACAGTGTGGAAGCATTGAACATCACTTTCTTATTTGCTCACCACCGCAGGCGACAATCGACTATTCAACATCTCAAACTGTTTCATATGCACCACGTCCAGCTGTGCAACCATTATCTTTTCAACCACCAACACCACCGGCAAAATTAATTCGACAAGAGACCTCACAAATGTTTCAACGCCAAAAACCAATGAGTCAAAACGAACGTCCAAACCAAGAAGTAACAAATGGGAATGTAACGCTCAACATTCCTCGTGTTACGACAACAATGTTTTCACGTCAAGTCAAAGAAGAGATGAAACAACCAGTCATAAAACCTCAACAAAAATCAAAGGAATATAAAGAAGTTAATGAAGAATCAAAAAAGATTCCCGTCACAACAACGACTAACAGCATAGTTCAATCAATATCCGCCGACATCACAATAACTGCACAAGGAAATCAAAAGGAAGCTGTTTCGACTATTATTCGCCTTGGTTCAAGAAGTCAAATTTGTTACAACGTCAAAGAATCAATTCATCATACAAAACCATCAAAAGCTCCAAAAGAAATGACAACAACAAATGAAATGACAACAAGCAAATTGACACTCATACCAAAAGAAAACGACAATCGCGACAATTCAATTAATCCAGAAGAAACGTCTAAAGAACCGTCACAACCAATCTGTCAACATCCAAACACATCACCGCCGATCTTCGCATCAGTGCAATCAAAACGACAGGGTGATAAATGTGAAACCTTTCATGATTCAACAACCAGACAATCCGCGCCTATAAATGGTAATAGCGACACCGACAGAATCGACAAAACAATATTCGAACCAAACTTGTCAACGAATCCAGGATGGTTTGGCTTAATCCTTATTCTCCGAGTTGTAATTGGGATTATCCAATACCTACGACCAATTCAACTACATGTATTCAACACGTCTAAAGTTTATATCAGAGGACCTACGCACGATTCGTACACCAAAGCAGACGACAAAGCAGTATGTATCTGGAGTATACGACATGATCAATATTCCTTGCTGGCAAACTGTGCGACGTACCCAACCAACAACGTTGATACATTACACGAGACACCGAACAACGACGATGGGCGCTTACTCTTAAAACCCCGCGCCAACTTCTGCAACGGACCTGAAACGTTGATGAAGAGTGGAATATGGATACTCGGCAAAACGTTAATTGGACTTGAACACATTCATATGCGACTATCAAACCTCTCGAACAAATCATCAAATGGAAGCAAAACAGCAATCGACAAACCCAAACCAATTTCGTCTACGTCTATATCACCAGAATATGCATTTGGATGGAATTTATTTGGAATCGCTGATGCTTCGACTCATACGCCTAAACCCTTTCGACCCTTTCAACGACAAAAACGACTGCGCCTATTTTACCATTCAATTCAACGCCTTTCATTCAATTCACTTTCTGTGTGGCCGGCCGGATGTTCCTTCCAGAAAAAGGAAAGATTTTCGCCAGCTGGACAGATTTTCGACAAATGGATATCTACATTCGATCCACCACCCACAGAAGAAATCAATGAGGTCATGGAATTGGAAATTTTTCGTAATTTTCATAATCCTTTTATCTCTTTCTTTCATTCATATTTTTTGTATCTTTCCCTCAAAATTCTTAATCATCCTTTGTGTTATTTTTTCAATTATCAAATGTCATCAAAATGGGTCCTCTTCAAATGTTCAACATATCGCCTAAACGTCTAAACATTAACGCCTAAACTTTAACGTCCAAACTTTAACGTCTAAACCTTTAACCAAACTCAACAAATAAACAAATTTAAATAAATCAAAAGCAATCATCAAAAGTTTTAAAGCATCTTCAGAAATTAATTTTATTGGCGAAGCCAATCAATTTAAATTAAAGGACGTGGTGAAACATCATTATCTTAAAAACATAAAAATCAGCAACATCAAACAATAAGCAAATCTTCAAAGCAAATCTTAACAACAAACCTTATAAAACTAAAATCGACAAATGGAATATCGACTAAAATTTTAAATCGACTAATCAACATAACCCTCAACAACTAAGGACCCACGATGTGCCTGCCCCTGATGTGCCTGCCCTCGGCAATGTCGAAAATTTCTTGGAATTTTCGTCAAAGGATGAAATTAATTAAATTATTAATTTTTCCGTTCCTATTTTTTATGACATCACTTTTTAGTGATCGTTATCGCCTATTTCGCTCTTTCTCTCCTTTTTCCATAAATGGATAAAATTATCCATTTTATCTTAAATTCCAATCTAAAAATTATTAATAATTTTATCCAACAGGGAAAAAAGGGAGAAAGTGCACTTCCGCCCAACTTGTTAACCGCAAACATATAATTTTTAATGCCTTTTTCAATTGCCCACATTCCATACCACACACATCGTTTATGGCCTATTTAAACCCAATCATTTTCACACTTTTCATGTTCTGACATAATCATTTTTCACAACCACAAATATAATGTTTTTACATACCCATAATGTTTTGACATAATCAGTTTTGACTTAATCATTTCATCACCTTTTCCAATCATACAAATAAAACACACAAATACAATTATAATTTTCTTTAATTAAATAAATATTTTTAAATATTCTTGGATTTTATTCTTTTGGTAATATTCTGTGAATATTCTTTGGGAATATTCAATTGTTCGTCTATCGTCTAAACTTGGCCATCCAGCAAAACCTTTGCCTACTCGCCTAACATCCTCTTTGGTTTGCCACGTCTTAATCTTTGGGATTAAGACGCTCATCGACTTCAACACACTTTCGACTATTGTTTTTAGCGGCGAACGACCTAGTTCCCTCTTGGGAATCCCGACCTAGGTAGTTCCCGTTAAAAGCATTAGTCGAAGCCCCGGTAGCTCAGAGGTAGAGCTCCTGCATATAGTGAGCGAAAGCGCCTAGCAGCAACTAGCAGGTGGTCGCAGGTTCGAATCCTGCCCGGTGGCTAAACTTTTGCAAACTCTTTCTATTTTAAATTTAGTGTAATTCACACTAGCAAAGACAATTTAAGAATTCTATTCTTACATAAGCATTATTATGTAATAGCCCATAAACGAATAAAGAAAATAATTCATTAAAATTAAAAGATCGTGGACAGGCCAGTCGAAAAGGAAAGGAAAAGGCTGGTGGAAGTTCTTCAACCCCAGCAACCTCCTTTGATGAAAATAATTTTTCTCTTATTGAATTGTCCCTTTTAATTCGGACATTTGATCACATTAAAATTGAAGAAATGGAATTAAACAGTCCAACAACAAATTTACATAAAACTATTAGTGAACGTGGAAACAAAATAAATTCTCATTTAATTCCAGATACTCCAAAGATCTTTGGATTAGAATCGTTTAAAATAACATCAGAAAAATTAAAGAAGGTTTATTTTTAAATTAAAAATAAATTTTTTAAATTAAGATTATTAACTATTATAATGAAAAATTTGATAAAAAATTACAAATCAAAAAGATTGAAATTGGTATAAAGAATATGAGTGAAAGAATTTCTACTCAGAATTACTTTTTATTTTTAAACAATTTAAGATTTTTACCATATGAAGGGGATTTCTCGTTATCAAATACAAAAGAAAAATTGACTGAAGTAGCAATACATACTTTGAATAATACGGACACTTTTAGGTAATATGTTAATATTTATTTGATTCGAGAAATGCGATAATTACACCGGGAATAGGTGTCTCTCTATATATTACAGTACGACTGAGTCGAGCGAGTTCAAGTTCCTTCCAAAATTCCGCCTGAGGCGCAGAAAAGGAAGATTTCTGGCTTAAGGATTTTACAATATTTTCAAAGTTTGCGCCTGCGGCGCAAAAAAGGGAGGGATAGAAGCGATGTATCCATAGAAGGATAGACCACAATTCGACGATATACCTAATCCGACGATATCCCAATTAATCCCCCGAATTTCCCAGATTTTGCTCTTAACACACTCAAATCTACTATAATTAGCCAAAATTCCGCTTAATCCCTTGATATCCATCTCATTCTTCTGTTTTAGCTCGATATATTGTTAATTATTTGTAAA